AATGAGAGCTACAAAGACAACAGACTAAAAATATATCTATATGGTTAGGGTGTTTTCCAGTTTTGAAATCTAATGGCATTCTGTACTTAATGATCAAATAAAATGGTCATTTCATCCACTGGGGGGGCAACTTAATTGCAACTACAGACTTGCTTCTCTTAGTGTGCTGTGTCCCTGTGTATCAGTTCAATAGAAAAGAAAACAATGTTCAGACATGGACTTGTAGACATTTATATTTGTACTTCAAAATACCTGTGGAATTCATCAATACCTGTTTTTGGAAGGACAAGGTAAATCTGAGGTGCACCTAATACGTATATAATATACAATATATCTCTACATTCAGAGAAAGATGACAGCAGGTACAAAACTCTATTATATGTATAATACAGCAGTAACTGCTTCAGTAAGTACCAACTATTTTTATTTTCAATATGTAAATGTGTCTTGGACAGGATAAGTGCCTATTATAGGAAAGAATGATATTGCAATACAAGTGTTCCAGTTAAATACAGATATTTGAATAACGTAATACATGGAGACCTAACAGAGCCTACCAATCTTAGGCATTTTCAAAGAAAAATTACTCACCTGTTTCTTTTCTCTGGTTAAATTTAGATGTGCGTAAAGCTGTGTTATTTTCCCATGCAATGATTCTGGGAAGAAAACTAGTCAGTTCTGGATCTTGGGAATAAAAATTCCCCTAGAGTGTTTTACATTGATAATTGTCTGAAATGTATTTTGAGGTTTGCGCATTTAGAATAGTCTTATATAAGATTAGTATTGAATAGTAAGAGACTGTGCCCAAATTGTATTACAGGATCATAGCTTAAATATAATTAAAGAACTGTGAGCCAGGATCTTGTGTATTATTTTTAACTGTTGTTTTGTTTTTTTGGTGGTGGTAGTTTTGGATTGCTTTTGCTACAAGATATGTTTATAAAGCAACACATAGCAGATTGTTAAAACTCTCTTCTTGATAATGACCAGTGCTTGGAAGAACCATTGCTGTCCCTCAGGCAGCAGAATAATGGCACACACAGCTGTATAACAATGCATTTAGACGAAAAAAAGTGGTGAAAGGTATTTACAGAAATGACTTGAGTACTTAAAATGTCGTGGGGAGGGAAGCACAACTTCTGATTTTACATAACAAATTAAAAAAAAAAACAACTGAAATATTCTATGTTTTTGAGCAAGTTACAAGACAGATAAATAAATGAAACTTCAACTAACATTCTTATTAAAGCTCTACAAAAGCACTGATTGATGAAACTATGAAAATGACTGTTACCTTAATATTGGAAAACCACAGGTCATTTTCATGCAGCGTAGCAACATAAAAAGAAGTAAGAAGTCCAACACCAATGGCAACAATTCCACCAAGAGTTATTGAAAGTATGTTCCACAGCTTTCCACCTGTATGATCTTGGAAGAGAAATATTTGACTGTGTAACTGTGAAGCACACGATTCAATTTTAATGAATTTTGGAAACTCATTGATACACTGCCTGTGCTAGTACAGGTTACATTCTGGCATCAGGACACAGGGTTTTGAGAGCTCTTTATAAAGTTAGGTTTTTTCTTTGCTCATAGCAATTCAAGTACATGCAAAATGAAATAAAGTGTGCCTTACTTGGAAAATGTAGTTATAGTTTAAGAACACCACAACTCTACATAAATCTAGATATATATCATATCTAATTTGTAAATCCAAATTGGAATATCCTCAAGGGCATCTTTTCTAAATCAAAGCTGTAGAGGATGACTGTTAGATCACAAAGATATCAAATCTTCAAACTTCTTAATATATCTGCCTGCTTTTTTAAACTTAGCTAGCCAGTCTGTCCTGCAGCCAAAAAGCAAGGGTTTCTAGTTCAAGTAATATTTCATATGCAATCTGCTTATATTTAAGTACGATCAATTAGAGGTTTTCAAATCTTTTTATGTTACCAATGATTTGAACTGTGATTCCTTTAAAAACGGATGACAACTATAAGAAATCTGACAATGCACCACCATTAGTAAACAGAAAAAAAATGTTTTTACCGAATAAATTAGAGTTTTAAAATGGAGTGAGATTGCCATGCAGTAATCTGCATGCTCTCTCTCATCCAACTAATTTTGGTAATAGATATTCAAGTATGAAAATTTATTCGGTACTTACCTATTTCTAACCTGTGTCTAAGACAGATACCAGATGCTGAACACTACAGTACAAAGTCATAATGTCCTAATCATTACCTACCAGACAGAACATCCCCATCAGACTTCACATTCTTCTCTTCTGAAGGCTGATCTTCAGCTCCTTCTGTGACTCTTCCACCCCTTCTCTGTCTTACAGTTGTCATGATGACAGTCACTTTAATTCATTATTCTTCAGTCTGACTCCTAAATGGAAACATACAAGCAATGCATCTTCCTACCCAACACTCATTTAATACTGTATGAAATGTCTGAAAACAGAAACATATTTTATGCCATCAGAGACCTTAAATTACCTGAGTTGAAAGTATAGGAAACATTACCCTAAATCTACTCATGAAATTCATAATTTTCCATACTCCTGACAAGGTTTTAGAACGGATCATAGCTTTGAATGCACTCACTTTTTGGGTCCTTGACTCAAAATGCCTATCAGGCTCCACTTCTTTGAACAGTATGAAATGTCAGCCCTTCACAGAAAAAAATGTTCTTTAAGCTGTTTTAGTTGGGTACCTAGAATAGAGAACCATTTGTTTAAATCCTGGCTTTCAGGAAATCCCCCCACAGTGGGCCATAAGATCCAGACACGTTGCCAAAGAACATGCACTATAAAAGACTACAGCAACTGCATTAAAAAATCTTTGATGTTTTGTACTGTCAAAGCCTTGTAAAATTTGAAAATGTTAAAAAAAAAAAAAAAAAAACAACAAAAAAACACAACAGCTAGTCATTCTCTTGTTAATTCACAGTTCTCTCTGTTCTGTGAGAGCAGGCCAGAAGTAAAATTGCTTTACCCTGCTACTCTGCAATTGAAAATCAACAATGTCCAGTCCTGAATGCAGGCACGTTACCATTCCCAGAGTGCAGACAGGGGTACTTGTGTTACCACTGGTGTGAGTGAGTGATAATGGAGCTGCTCTAAGAAATATGCCTCAGCTGCATGCTGTTTGTGGTTTTAAAGCTTTTGCAATGAATTAGTTTCAACTCTTTTCCTTACTCCTGGGGGGAAAAACATACACACACACCAAACAACATGCACGTGGAGGGAACTATGTGAGCATGTATCGGTTTGTAAGTAGCTTGTTTGTATAAAATCCAACAATAACGTAATAGGGGGCAAGATGATCATTGCAACCACGGTCTTTCCCACCGCCAGGCTTTCTTCAAAACGTCCTGTGCCGGGATGAATGCCTTTTCTGCCAGGTACGCCCGAGGAAGCCAGAAGCTCAGGGAAGGAATGGGACAGTCCCGCCTCCGACCCCACAGTGGCCTGCGGAGGTGAGGACAGACGAGGCGGGGCAGGGCCTGCGGCCGGGTCCGGGGCTCAGTCAGGGGAGGTCGGGGCAAGGCCGCTCGGTGGCGGCTGCGGGCAGGCCGAGGGATGAAGCGGCCCCGGGGCTGGGCAAAGGAGGCAGGAGGGCCGGGCCTGGGGCCGCAGCTCCCCCCCGGAACGGGCTGCGCGCTGCGGCCTGCGCGGCCTGGGGATCGGCTCCTGCCCCGCTTGGGCCCGTCACCGGTTCCCCACCGCCTCCCCCCCACCGCCGGCGAGGCCGCTACCTGCCGGCGCTGCGAGGGCCGAGGGTTGCTGTAGAGCGGCGGTAGCTGCTCCTGGAGCCGGCTCCGGCTGCGCGGAACCGCCAGGGCCCCGCCGTGAGGAGGGGAAGGGGCGGGCGTGGGGGTGGCCGCGGGGGCGGCCGCGGTGCGAGCTGTTCGGCTCCGACGGGCGGAGCGGAGCCGGGGGGAGCAGGGCTGGGCGGCAAGGAGCGAGCCGGGATGGGGGAGGCCCGCGAGGGGAAGAGCCCCGCCGTGGGGCCCTCGTCAGCCTGCGGGCCCCGAGTAAGAGCCGCCGCGGGGGCAAGGCCGCCAGAACTCGGTTTTGGGACGCCTACAGCCCAAGTTGCACGTCCTGGGCGCTGCCGGTAGCGACTGGCCGCAGGGCTCCTCAGGGGGAAGGCGGCGGTTTGGATGGTGCTGCCCGTACTGACCTAATGCAGCCACGCATTTCTTGTGTAAAACACGGCAAATGGGTCAGGGGAAACCTGCGGGATCGCAGGAGCAGGATGCTTAGGGGGGAAATAAATTCTGCTGAGGTTATTTTCCCCCCAGTATCTTCTACTGAGGCTCTTCTGTTGTATTAAGTTCCAGTTTTTGCACTGTAACGTATTTGGCCCAGGGCCGTAAGAGCAATAATAAAGTGAAAGAAAATAACCTATTTTAGTGTAAGCCAGATAATACCAGGAACGGGCACTGGTGGTACTTTCTCTCCTTGGCCAGCAGCAGCGGTTAGAACTTTTTTTTTTATTTAAAGTTTTGGTTCCATTTTTGGAAAAAGATGGGAAGCAAAGCTCCAGCAAGGCCAAGAACTGTAGCGTGCATATAAAATTAGGTTGCAAGATTTAGCTTACATGATGGATAAGCATGAATCCATCACTTGAAAAAAAGCTGTGTAAGGCTTTCACACCATTGAAATTAGGGACAAAAGTCCCACTAGCTTCACTGTGAATTTTGAAGACAGCTCTGTCCTTCAGCATTGTTCCAATGTAACTGCATAGTTCCTTGTATACTTCCTTGTATTCAGAACTTGTTTTAATAGTCTATTTCATCACTACCATTACTTTTACAAAACTTGTATTAATATTGTTAACTAATATCTTGGTACAAGAGTGTGAAATGGCAGTGAAGTATTTCAAGTACTTTTTGATGTAAACAGATTCCCATCTCTAAACACTGGTTCTTGTCTCTGTTTTCCGTATTCATAACCCTATTTCATATAGGTCAAATAAAAGTGACTGAAGTGTTTAACAAAAAAAGTTTATTACCAAAATACATTATTAAAGTCAATACGTGACAAACTCCTGTAAAGCAAAATAAATTATTCTAACATTGTACAGTATTTCAGAAGGTAGTTAAAGTAGTACTACAGACTTTGCTTCATAGTTCCGAACAGTCATCTATCAGGAACACAATCCTAGAGAGAGCTTAAGGCATGCAGCTTAATGTGCTGGGTAATTTTATAAAATGGAAGTCATCCTATTTAATAAGATACAGTATCAGAATTAACTGCAGTCTTTACATGTCAGTTTTCTAAATTTTTTGTACTTTGGCTATAAAAGTAGTGCCATAGTGTTACAATACCTTTTCTTAAAAAAATACATGTACCCATGTCCATGAATATCAAATGCAAATGTAAATTTCTATTAAATATATCTTAACAAACGTTACTTTCAGCACCAACCGTACATTTTTTAAAATGATTAAATAAGTGCTTCTGAAAGAGGAAAATACAATAACTGACTGAATCCCACTCCAAGCATAAATCAGAAAGATGAAATACGCACCTATTTATCTGTATTGTCTAGTATAAAGGAAGTTTTCTCTTTAATAGAAGTATAGGCCTTTAAAATCAAAGCTGCAAGTTACAGTTCATATAACGGATCAAACTCTTAATAAAACAAACAGCAAGTGAAATAGCTGATCAGCTCATAGTGCTGTGACAGAAGATCTGAAAATATGAAAGGGGGAGACTGCAGAGTTGGTGACTTTGAAATGTGCTTGAAAAACCCTTACATAACATGCAACCAAGCCAACCATACACTTTCTAAAGCAGATAACCTGAGAAATACTTTACTTTCAGAAACTAAGCCTATAATTACTTCACATGCAGAACTTCTGATAAAGGCCATGAGAACTGTGAGTGGGTAACTAATGGCAAGCAGCAGGGAGACAGTTAAATATACCTCTGTGCATATGGGAAAGAATTATTTGTTGGCATTTGATAGGACTGATAACAGTTTTTAGAGGCAACTAACTTTATACTATTTTATGGTAACACATGGTCAAAGCAGAAAAAAGCAACGAGATGGCAAAGAGCAAATGTAAATAGATACATCCTGCTTAGGAATCCCATTACAGTCAGTCTCGGTGCATTATATTGAATATTGCAAACATGTACACCAGAATTCTTAACTTTGATTGAAAGCTACTTGCTTTTTAAGTCTTGGTTTGCTGCCATCTTCTTTTTAGCTTATGAATGCAAGTTTTTCACCTTTTTTTCTTTCACTAGCAGAACAATGTTAAAATAATTATCCCTTTATGCAAAAATAAGGAAAGTGGCAAAATACTGTTTCTGTGAATGCTGGCTGGTAGTTTAACATTACCTTGGATCTCTTCCTACCTTTAATTTTTCAACAAATAGGATCTCTGAATGAAGAAGATCAGATATACTGCAAATAGTTTACTACTTTTGCATGAATTCTATATTGAATTCTGTATCTATAGATAAAATACTGGTGTCAATAAGACAGTATGAATATCCCATTAGAAGTTTACTATCTCTAACTGATTTTGAGATGTGAATAAATCTTGTTCATCAAATGAAAAATCTATCTGTAGAAATATTAAAAATAACTTTTAACTGAAAATATTACAAATCTGTATTTAAAATATCTCAAATATGACACAAATGCTTTGACATTATATCAATTTTAAAGTAAAATGTGTACTTTCTGATACCAATTTTATATATAAAAAAACTACAGATATTTAACTTGAACAAGTTAAGGAAACCACTTAACAACAAAAATTGCTGAATGTACGTGGAATGTAGTGCCTTTTACACTGGCATTTAGATTTTGTGCTGCTTCATAAAGTAGTAACCTGACTTGTTTGCCACTTACAGTCAGCAATGCACAACAGACTGTATGCTACACATACCACCTTCTTAGACTTACTGTTCTAGCTCATTTCTGCTAGCAGAAATGTATAAATATGAAATAAATGTAAAACACTGTTTTTCTAAGAGTAAGTCATTTTTTAAGAAATGAGCTTCTAAAAAATCAGGTAACTGCATTCCCATGTCAGGAACAAGGTATGCATCCGTGCAACTGCCATTCTTTAAAAGCAGAAATAAACAGACACACTAGAAAGCTTAAATCAGGTTACAACAGGGTTTCTTTTAGAAGTGCTACTGCTTCTCTAGATTGAAACCTGTATTTCAAATAATTTTAAGTAGCCAACTTTATGAATGACCTTAACAAAGTTGCAAGGTAATTAGCCTGTATATATTTCCAACTGAGATGTTGATGAATGTTCTCTTTTGCAAACTGCTGTTAACACACAAAAACAAAGCACTGTAGTTTTACGGTGCTTTACAAGGGAGAGATTTCTATATGTTTTTTAGAAAACAAAGTAATCCCTAATTCCCCTTATGAGCCTGTATTATATACACTAGTAAAATTTATTCTACAAGTGACTGTTTTTGATGATTTTGCTTAAAATATGGTTTCCATATTTTATTTTTTGAAATATAACTTTCTATAGGAACATTGCTATGATTACTTTATCCTTCTGTGAATTATATCTACAATTAAACCCTGCCACACAAATGGGATTATTTAGACAGCCGGTGCAACTTTCAAGGAACTCCAGAACATGTAGACATTCCTCAAAATCCCTTTCCTTCCTTATCTGCATCCTTAGGAATCTATATAGATTTAAAAATATCTTTGTGGCAATTAATGTTAGTGCCTTGTTCTCATAAAAAATGGTGCTCCTAGGTACTGCAATCACCACAAGTTGATAGTGACATATGAGGTGATTTGTTTTGCAGGTTTAGTTTAAATTTGTTTTTAATTATTATTTATTTATTTTTCTTAAATAGTTCTGCTGAATGTGTTAAGAAAGCCTTTAAGAAACAGCAGGCCATTATTATGAAGAATCTTTTACATACCATCAATTAAAAGATACCAGCTTATAGTTAGGATCCAATTAGAGACAGTTATTAGCAAAATGCTTCTAGTTTACTCAGTTCCTGGTGCTTCAAATCAACAGATAGGATACCACTCTTTTTTGAAAGACAACCTGGAGTTTGTAAGGTCTTAAAAACAGATTGGGAATACACATACAACAGATTGGGAATACACATGCAAGCACAAACATGCCCTTATCTCCCCTCTTTCTACCTTCCAGAATTCAGGCTGAGTTTGATGAAATCCTGTTGTAAAATTTGTATTTGGTAAGTTGCCATCTTCAAAAAAGAGGGTAAAAATGTTTTTGCGTAACTATTTGGGAAGCAACAAAGCTTTCATGCCTTTAGGTTTTAATATACTGTACTAAGTCATTATTACTGACTAGTACCAGACAGTAAAAGGAAAGAAGAAAAACAATCCCATGTTCTTGGCACCATACAGAGAAATAACAGGTTAAAATGGATCATTCTATTCCCTACTCCTGATATTTATCTCTAAAATGATTAATCGGTCCCTAGTTAAAAATTTGAATTCTTACTGAAACAAGGACTTAGAATGGGAAATCGGCAAGTTTTGCTTGCAATTCTTCTCTTTACCAAGTTTCTCAGGCAAAATTAGTGAAGATAGAAAATATCACTTTAGGAAACCCCCTCTTCAACTTAATGCTTCACCTAGTTTGTGCTCTGATTTGTGCTGTTGTCCTTATTTAGGATGATGTTTATGATTTCACCCTCATGTTCTTTCATATGATCCAGCAAATTTTCTTTGTTGGTAGACTCAAAACCACAAATGCAGCAGCAGAAGAGAAGAACACAGTATTCTGTGCCAAGATGGGGTAGAGTGGAGTTCTTTTCTAAACCACCTGAGGTATTCATCAAGTTAAGTTTTTCATTTTCATCAGAACCTGACATTTCATTATTAGTCTGGTTAATGGACTCTGTAAAAGACACCAGGTTGTCTGAACTTCCTAGTATAGGTACTGTACTTTCATCTGTGCCTTCCAACAAGGTTTTGTCAGGAAGCTGTCCTTGAAACCTGAAATAATAAAAGAAACAACTATCAAAACATACAGCTGTTGCTTTTTGACAGGAATTGTACTTTGGATTAGAGGTGGCTCCTTTGAAAATTCTAGATAATAGGACTTGAAAATAGGTAAGACATACCTGCTACTTTGCAAAATTGCATCATTAATAGCCTTGTTCACTTGTTCATAGTTATAGTTTTGGTCACTTGCATGTTTCCACATGTGAGACTTCAGGGATGGAGGATGGCTACATACATATCCACAGAGAGAACATCTAGAGAAAAAATGTGGGGAAGAGATGAATTTAAAAGTTAAGTTTTATTATTGTACTAATTCACTGCTTCTTCCAAAACAACGAGTAAACAGCAAGACACAAGTCAATCCTCTTCTTAGTCGCCCTGTTCAGTTTTGTAACTAGGTCAAAAAAGTTTGTAAAATCGTTATTCCAAAATTTAAGACTATTTATACAGTCTGAGAACTTAAAATTGGCTCTTCTGACTTCTTAAATAATTTAATTGAAATCTTATGTTTGGCCTGATAAAACTGTTTAAATACTGGAGAAGAGGAGGCTAAGGGGAGACCTCATCGCAGTCTACAACTTCCTCGTAAGGGGGTGTCGAGGGGCAGGAGACCTTTTCTCCATTAACACCAGCGACAGGACCCGCGGGAACAGGGTTAAGCTGAGGCAGGGGAAGTTTAGGCTGGACATCAGGAAGGGGTTCTTCACAGAGAGAGTGGTTGCACACTGGAACAGGCTCCCCAGGGAAGTGGTCACTGCACCGAGCCTGACTGAATTTAAGAAGAGATTGGACTGTGCACTTAGTCACGTGGTCTGAACTTGGGTAGACCTGTGCGGTGTCAAGAGTTGGACTTGATGATCCTTAAGGGTCCCTTCCAACTCAGGATATTCTATGATTCTATGAATATGCAATAGTTCAGAAACATGGAGATGTCTGTGTGGTATCTGGCAGCCAGGTGGGGAGCTCTCTTTGACATTGTTCTGAACCAAGCAGGTGCTGTATAATTAGCAGTGCTAATTTTAACTGAACTAATAAAGCCTTCTTTGCTGTAGCATATAGTAGTTTATTTGAGGATCACAGAATCATTGAAAGTGGAAGGGACCTCTTGAGGTTACCAAGTCCAACCCAGCTGTTCAAGCAGGATCAGCTAGAGCAGTTCCCCACACAGTGTCCAGCCAGGTTTGGAAAACGATCACAGATTGAGACTGATAATTTTGTCCATAGAGTTTTCCAGCAGCCCAAGGTAGTAGAAGGCTAAATCTTTTATTTCCCTATAAAACACTGACTTACACAGTGAAGAAATACTGACTTGTTCTTCAACCAAGTTTGAATTTTATACATAAAATTCTGAAAGGGGGGGGGGGGAAACGGATGGACAAAAACACGGCCTAAATAATCCTAATTATTAAGCTATGCTTAATCTTTTCAAGAAAAATGGTTTGAGAAATGCTTTTCAAGTTTGAGAGGTAGTTGTCCCATTAAATTTAATTTACACTCCTAGTATTTAGGAAGTAAGGCCTTTATGTATGCAATCTCAATTATCTCTTGTAGGAAGAAGATTTTAGCCCATACTTAATTAAATGCAACTGAGAATGTTTACAGAATCACAGAATTTCTAGGTTGGAAGAGACCTCAAGATCATCGAGTCCAACCTCTGACCTAACGCTAACAGTCCCCACTAAACCATATCCCTAAGCTCTACATCTCAACGTCTTTTAAAGACTTCCAGGGATGGTGACTCCACCACTTCCCTGGGCAGCCTGTTCCAGTGTCTAACAACCCTTTCGGTAAAGAAGTTCTTCCTAACATCTAACCTAAAACTCCCCTGGCGCAACTTTAGCCCATTCCCCCTCGTCCTGTCACCAGGCACGTGGGAGAACAGGCCAACCCCCACCTCACTACAGCCTCCTTTGAGGTACCTGTAGAGAGCAATAAGGTCGCCCCTGAGCCTCCTTTTCTCCAGGCTGAACAAGCCTGGCTCCCTCAGCCGCTCCTCATAGGACTTGTTCTCCAGGCCCCTCACCAGCTTCGTCGCCCTTCTCTGGACCCGCTCAAGCACCTCCATGTCCTTCTTGTAGCGAGGGGCCCAAAACTGAACACAGTACTCGAGGTGTGGCCTCACCAGAGCCGAGTACAGGGGGATGATCACTTCCCTAGCCCTGCTGGTCACACTGGTTCTGATACAAGCCAGGATGCTGTTGGCCTTCTTGGCCACCTGAGCACACTGCTGGCTCATATTCAGCCGACTGTCCACCGTTACCTTTAATAAAGGTAATACTTTGGTACTTCTTTCTCTCTTTCTCCCAATAGTCCAATCCCTTTTCTAAAAACAGTTGCAAATTCTATGACACTCAGATAAATACACAGCACAATTCAGAACTGAACACAAAATGTTTCTTCCTCTGCTAGAATTTGATTGGATAGTTCAAAAGCATTGAAAAATAAATTCCATTTACATAGACATACTGTATATTTACAGACAAATAATATGACTGATCAAATCCCACAGGACTTTTCTCATACATGAACATACAACATAGGAGTTTATTTTTTTAACAAGTGTTTTCTGAGATGATAAATTAGTTATCTGAGCATGAAGGAGATGAGTGATACCGTATATCATCACTCTGGAGCTGAACAGTACTCAGGGTAAAGATGTGGTAGCTCATCATCTTTTGGACAAGAAAGCTGCTTTGCTTAGCTACTTAGGAAGCTTTTCAAATCACACGAAGAAGACTAGGATCAATTTTTCTAGATACTGAAGGCAAACTGTTTATAACAAATTATAGCTAGACTGAGATGCATTCCTATCTCATTCGTCAATAAGAATGAAATGATTTCTACCCGAGCAATGGGATCCCCTGATAAGTTGTATTATGATAAGTCTATTAAAATTACTACTATACTAGTAAATTTTTGTAAATTTCTAAGAAAGGCTTCTTCAGAAATAGGACCTGGAAACACAAGAAGGCCTGCATAAAACAGCGTTTAAAAATTACAATGGTAGACTTCCTTCCTTATGTAGTGACATAATTCTGTCCTGCTGGGGAACAGGCATGACTTTCTAGCTCACTTGTCTCTATTACGTGTTTTGTAATGTGCTACTCTATTTTTTTCCTCTTCCTTCTAATTTGGAGCCTTGTAAAGAAAATTGATGTTTTCAAAAATAGGCAAGCTCATCCTCAGATTGAGAATCTTAGTATTTCAAATAAGACTTTTTCAAAACAATGCCATTGTTAAAAATAAAAAGCAGACCTTAACATTACAGATAAAATTAGGTCACAATGAATTTTTGCAAAACACAAGAGTCAAAAAATAATCTTAATTCTGTATGCGCATGTATTCAACTAGTCTTTTATTATATGATGATATATAATTTTTCTGCACTACTAGCACAGCTTGGTCAGTGGATTGGTACACAGTGAATGAAGCAACAGTTGAGTGACTTAACCCTTTTTAATGACAGTCTCTTTTTTTGAAGTTCATTAATTTTCTATGTATATAAACATAGATGGACAGACTAAAAACTACACTCACCAGTTAAACAATGACTATTCATACTCATTCTTAACTAGGGCAGTGTGATTCCAATCTGGATTCTAACAAATGTGTATATACTAAGGCTGTGCTTAGATTAGGATATTAAACAAAGCCAGAGAACATTCCTGGGTGCTCGAATTTAACAATCTGTATTGTTACAGTGTTAGAAGTGCCTCAGGCATGGTTTTGGCACATACATTCTCCTCAACAATTCCAGCCATGCTTTGGCAATTAACACGGTCCAGAAGCCTCTTGTAATACATATTTTATATGCAACCACCCCATTTTGGAAAGAGAGCGGAATATTGTACCAGAGGGATGCCATGGACCTATTTAATTAGCTAGCATACATATCACCTGGGAACACCACATCAAATCTCTTTCCTTTTCTCTCTCCCTCTCAATAAAAAAAATGTCACTGGAACAAAGAATGAATATAGAAGGGAAAAGAATATAATCTAAACTCTGCTTTATATCTTAACACAACCAAAACAGTACTATCATAGCTTTTTGCTAAATGAGAGCTGTTACATACTTGTACTGTTCCATTAGCTGCACTGCCTGATGCTCCTGGGGGTGGCGCCTCATATGACATTTCAAACTATTCATATTTGTGGTGGCGAAGTCACATACTCGACATCTAAAGAGACAACAACAAGTAAACTAATCTGACAATTAACTACTAACACTTCCAGAAATATAATTTAAGAGAAAGCAAAGGTATCTGGAAAGACTACAATTAAAGGCTAACAATATTTACAGAAGTTCAAGTGATGACATCTTTCAATTTTTGGACCATGAGAACTTTTTGCACTCCAAAGAAGACTCCGACTAGAATCCGAGCTAGAATCACCATGAATACTGACCATGGTCCATCCTTACATCTACCTTGTGCACCTCTACTAAAGCTGGTATGCCTCATGATCTGTAAGGGATGCACTTACAATAGCTGTGATGTAGATTGCTTGGCTATGTTACGCAAAGGCACAATATGGCCATAAAAGCTATAGGGGACACAATGTACTTAGAAGCGAGTCTTGTTCCTTAAGAATATGTATTCTGCTTAATGCAACAGGCATTTCTCATGACATTTTAAATGCCAAACTATCTATTAAGTAATAAAACATCTAAGTTTCAGAGCATTATAGCTGAAGTAAAAGTCAGGGACAAGATCAACATGTTTAGATTCAAGTGCCCTAAGACAAGTGAGTTGCATCATGCCGTCTAAATTTTTATTTATTTATGACTTTTTTCATGGTATTGTTGTCTAAAAACAATATAGATGAGATCCTAGATTGAGATCCCTGGATTTGGACCACAGAATATTACACAAAATACTAAGATACGCATAAATATAGTACCACATAACAGATCTAATGGAAGCCATCAAGATCAGCTAAACCTTTGCATATTTATCAGGATTTTTAATTGTCTCTTTTTTGAAAAGGTAAAATGTCCAACATTTACTAAGTCTGGTCTATAGAGTGAAAAAGGTTGAGATTACAGGATATTTATCTAGAAGTTCCTAACTTTATTTTTGAAAGGATTTAATTGTGCAGTATTAATGTCCAGAAGGTATCAAATCAATACAAATGAATCATTAGAGGCTATACAGTTTAATTTCCAGCAATTCTTGTTAAACAAATAATAAAATACCTTTATGAGTGTGAAAATCACTACAATGTACTTAGGTCGCTATCTGATCAAGCAGAAAGGCTTGAAGAATACATCTTCCAAAAGAAAAAAAATACCATAAATACTGAATCTTTACAGTTTTTAAGCTGTGTCTTGAGTATCCTACAAGGTCTGCAGATGTATCTAAAGGATTCATGCATAAATAATAAGAAAAGCAAGCTGGATCTGTAGGCTTAAATTTAGTAAGCAGCAGTCTGTATCATCAATGGAAAATTTTCAGATTCCTAAATCAAACAGGGTGGGCTAACACCAACTCAGAAAACTACCAAATACCATGATACTACAGTATCTGCTGTTCCAACAGAACAAAGTTAAAAATAATGGAAATAGGGAAGATTTGGAGAAGAAAAAAAATATCTATTTGTATTCCACACTTACTTTCCGAGAAAATATCTTGCAAATTTTTGCTAGTGATAACGGATATTGTTATAATGCATGAATTAAAACATGTCCTTTTTTTTTTTTTTAGCTAAAAGAGAAAGCTACTGGCTCAGTTAAGCATTTCAATGCGTTAAGATGAGTTTCCAGAATTTGCATTAAAAAGACGGAACTTTATTAGCTCAAAAATTGTATTAACTCAGATCTATTTCTATCCACTAGAGAGGGACAGAGATCCAGAGGTGAATGAGCACAGACTGAAATGGCAGGAATTTACATGTATAAAGCAACCAGAATCATACAGAAAAATGCATGATTTGCTTTTTCTTCTGAGAACCTATAGTACTAAGAGTAATTCTAGATATCCAATTTTTCTGTAAATCCATGTAACATCCATCTACAAAAGCTATAAAATTTGATCCTAAATGTATTAATATTGTTTGAAACCTGTAAAAAAGGTAAGGGGACAGGGCAAAGGGCAGCAATTTGCTGAACTGTAGGAGCCAAGACTTTATGGATGTACCTTGACTCCTCCTCCTTCCTTCATTAAGGAATGTGAATCTTGCTGTTTACCTTGCTGCTTTGAAACAAAGCTTTAAAAGCAGCAATATCACAATGGAGAACACTTTGAAATAAGGTAAATCCAAAATAAAATGATGTATTTAATGAGTGCTAAATAAATTATTGCTGTTGGCCAAAGTTCAATATTACAAGATAATTATTTCCCTTTCCACATCTGGATGCTTGAAACTGAAAACCAGCAGTTTTCACATACAACGCATCCTGGAGACACTAGGAAATTTTAATTACACAGGGTTGAGTCAAACAGAAAGCAAGGCTCCTTCAAATTTGCAGTAAAATTATAGTACTGAGATTCTTTAATATATATTCAAAATTGCATTAAAACAAGCAGACTAAGAGCCTAGCATTAGTTAGCAATAATTGAGACTCTTACCTATAGGGCTTATCAGAGTTATGAATTCGTCTGTGATTTCGTACACCAACATAAGTTGTACTTGTGTAGTCACATACATCACATCTGTACAGTTTCTGAAGTGAAGACTTATTTCCTATATGAAAAAACATGACATTTTCAACAGTTGAATCCAGCATTGTCAGTTCTCAGATGATAATTTCAGCACAGCTGAGTTATGAAACATGAATTAACACTTCAAAGTAATACTTTAGTATCTGGAGCAAACTGGCAATAGACAGAGATAATAAAGGTACATTCTATTTACCATGCTGTTCTGCATTTGCCCTACCTTCTACTGGAATTACTAAAATTTTAGCAAGACACATTCATGCCTTCTTTCAGTTGGGTCAAAATCCTGAGTTACAGCAAAAGGTGAAAAAATGTGGGAGCTGCTGAACCCATCACTTTTCACAGTTTTTTAGAATGAATCAAATCATGAGAAGGTGGGCAATGAGAAAAGAGAAGTTTTTAACTGTAGTTTCACTATATTCACAGCCATTTTCAGAAGGATCTGAGATTATCTAAAAAACCCCTCCAAAACCAAAACAAACAACAAAAATCAAACCACCAAAACAAAACAAAATACTGACCAGATGTATAAAGAAATAATTTGGAACATCACCAAATTACTGAAAAGCAATAGCAACAAAAATTGTTTCTCCTTCCAGAATAAAAGAGACTCTTGAAAAATTAATGCTTGCAGAGACAAAGGCTAATGACTAATTTAACATAGGAAAATCTGTGCTTACAAGTGCACAGTTTGAACATTTTTGGGATGTGACTCTGTAGACTTTAACAGCCCTATTCCTGCTCCCTCACTGAATAATGTAACTGATCTGGGTTTAAATATGAACATTTAAGAGGAGGGATGGTATTTTTTATGCAGGTCATTTTCCCACTCCAGCCCATCATACAGCAGCTTTCATACACTCTTCAAATGACGTTAACCGCAGATACACAAAGGAATAACAATCTGGAGCTGCTTAAATCAAAACTACTTTGACTACTGCCAAAAGAAACATTTAATTAAAATCTAAGGTCTTGCTTTCTGCATCTAACCTCTTTGCTATTTGAAGGTTTTAGATTTTTCCTTTTCGAAGAGCAAGTAAGGTCGGTGCTTGAGTTCATTTCAACTTTACATCAAATTCTTGTTCGCTGACTGAACAGTCAAGCCATTTGCAGTTCAAACTTAAAGTTCTTAAAGCAAAATATATCAGATTTTTTCCTACTACATGCTCATATAGTTTTTTAAAAGTTACTACTGTTAAAAAATCTTTAATTCAAATTAAAAAAAATAATCTTAATTTCACCCTTATAGACATCAGATTATACATTTCTGTAGTTATTCATTTATGAATATACATTTATGCAGAGTGCAAATGAACACAAAGACACTGGACTACAGATCTTTGGTAGAGCATGGGTTTTGTGAAGGCTGGTCTATTGCATGCTCTATCGGAACGGGTTTTCCTTCTTAAATTCTGCAACTTTAGAATAAACCTTTTCTAAACGTATTTTATATTATGAATTTGGTATTTTATTCGGCAGGCTGCTTAAAACAAACAGTATCTAATGAGATTTTTAATGTTACGCAAGCATGTTATCTATTGCATAGCTTTAAGAGGCTAACCACCCAGTGACTTAGTAACTTAAGAGCAATTATTTATATCAATCATTACATTAGATTTAGCCTTTCAACAAAATGCACATGAATTATGTAACACATCATATAATCTCTAGCTGCAGTGAAATAGCAGTCATGTCCCCTGCCTCCTTCAGCAGCTTATTTCTTGAGGTTGTGGGAGTTTTTTGCTTTCTGGATTGAGGACATCAGGTCTCTTAAAGTGAACATGGAATGACAGATCTTTATTCTCACAGCAGTAACAGGTGCTCCTGTAATTCTGCTTATTACCCTATTCCCTCATTATTAGACATTTACAATCCAATCATATCCAGTCTCATAATGTTCTCTTTTAATTTATAGTACAACCATGATGAATAAAGAGACTTTTAGGACTAACTATTTCATAAACAAGAAATGGAACTGTTCCAGCTCAGGCATCTTTCACATAAACAGATGCTATGCCATAAACTTCTTTGTTCTGTGTTGCTTTACAGGGATGACATCTGTTTGACAAGAGATTGCTGTACTGCAGTGGTGTTGCAATTTGATTATAAATTGGTTCTGAAATAATTTAAGCATTCCAAAGCACAAGTTAATAAAAGTTTAAAAGGAAAACTGTTTTCATTCAAATCACCATTACTGAATTTCATGTGGGGTAAACATTTAATTAAGGTGCCTGGATGTAACACTTAAGACAGTAATGAGCAATAAATACTTGAAAAAAAACAAAAAACTCTGAAATAACTACATTGAAGGCAGACAGTTTTCACAAACAGAGGTTCCTCCTTTGTGGAAGTTATATTACCAGGTCAGGATATAGCATCTAACAACACCTTTTAAAATGTAGTACTTTCAAAAGCAGCTAGCTATCTTGATTTTCAGTCACCTTAGGACTTTAGCTCAAAAGGTACAGTATTCACAAGTCTGATATGATTCAGGCATCTCAAAGTGCTTACTGCTTTATTAGGTCATCTTTAAAAAATCTTGGTTTAAAATAGTCAAAACAGTGTCAGAACTACTAATCCAAGCTGTGCTACCATATATTTGTAACCAGCTAAACTCACAATGTTTTTCCTATCATTTCTCTTACTATGCTATTTCTTCTGAAGAAAAATAAAACACAAAACTTAATGTTCTCACTACCAGCAGACCCTCCCCAGCGTTTTTTTCTGCTCCCCTGGAATTCAGATGGCTATCTGAAGCTTAGGTCTTCTGGATATAATAAGCACTACAGAACAATTTCCCAAATTTAAATATTTAAATGTCTTAATGTCTTCTGCATTGATGAGAGCAAAAAGGAGCCAGGAAGGGTCATTCTACCTGAGGCTAGTGAGGCAATGAATTTTTAATTTCCCATCACGTATGCTGAAAGCCAAAACAAGAGGCAGTGTGAACTAACAGAACAAGAGTTAAGAATCAGTCAGGAGTTAAGGATCTCACTTTATTCTGACGTGTACCATGTTGCTTTGGACAAACTGTTAATGGTTCAAGCTGTCTACCTGGCTCATGCTGCTTAGTACCTTTCTTCACAAGTAGCTGTGCTAGCGTCAACGAGGTGAGAGTAGAACCCAGATATTTCAACTGCAATCTAAGTACTATTATAGTACACATTTTGCTATATAAACAAACAAGAGATAGTTAGGACAGAAAAGAACTATGAACACAAAATGTGAAATATTTTATCTCACAGTTGTTCAGAGGTGATATAATTACTAGCATTTTTCAACAATACTCTAAAATTGCTAAGTACAAAAAAATCTACAGTTCTGTCAATAGAAGCTTTGTAAATATTTTCAGGAGCTTTATCTCACCAGAAAAGAGGATGCATTGAAGTTATAATATTAGATACTGGGCCTCCAAGAGCACTGAAAGGATTTTAGGATCACATTTCCCTTAACTTCAGGGATTAGCTATTTTCTTCCTATTTCACTACCTTTACACATCAGGTTTGTTTTTCTTAAGAATACTGTTAAATTATAAGCAGATTATAAGCAGATACAAACGTTTTAGAAATGCATACCTTTGATTACCCTAGTGACTATTACATATATAGCTTGCATTTTTTAAATGTTCTACATTTGCCTCTCCAGGACTAAAACTCATTTTGGACATTACCGTAATTAAAAAAACTTCTAATAGCAGAATAGACTGTATTGTATGTATATGCTGATAGAAAAGCGTGTAACCACAATGAGTTTAAAAAAAAAAAAAGGGCTTTATTTTGTTTACTCTAGGAAATTTAGAAAATACTATAGCTGCTGAAGAAAGATAAAAAGGATTGTTTTTCTTAAAAATGCAAAATAATACTCCATAACAATTATTATCTGTAAATATTTAAATTGTTTTTCAAAAAGAAGAAATAGAGGATCTGATTAAATGTGCAAAGAATGTCTTACCTACTAACAACTGTGAGTACAAGATCTCAAAACTGATCATTTAGGTAAGTTTGCACACTGAAAAGGCCGCGCATTTAGGTTAGGGATAGATGTGAAAACATTTTGGCCTGAAAAGGACCTTAAAAACAGTAAGCCTGCAAGCATAGCAAACAAGTCATTTTATGAATGATTTTTTGTAGTTTTAAGTGACAATATAAACAGTACCTTCTCTTTCATCTATGTCATTTGAAACAGTTAGTTTGTTAGATGTGGCTGTTGAAAAGATATCTGGAAGACTGTGTTGTTCTCTCTCATGATTTCGCAGTTGGCTCTGAAAAAACAATTGCCCGTGTTTAAATACATACTACAAACATTCACTGGTGACTTCAGAAATTTATGACATTGCTACTCAACTTTTAATGACAACTGTTATTAAACATATGTTAGCATATATACAGATTATCCCTCAGTTTTACTGGAAACAAAACAAAATACATAACATTAATTAATAACATATAGGATTTATGAAAATGACTCATATGATTGTGATTTTTGTTAATTAAAAAAACTGTTCATTAGAAAAATGACTATATACATTACATATTATCTGTAACTGTAATGTGTCATGTTGACTTTTTTATTTTCAAGCTTTTTCTTTTCCCTATTTCCTTCTTCCCCTTCTTCCTTCTTTCCATCTTCTACATTCTCATGTACAAGTGGCAAACAGTTCTTCCTCCAGAATTATTATACTCCAAAAGCAATATAAGATTAGAGGTTAGAGGATGGCTTGTGTAAAAATGGCTCCATTTTCTTTTTGCCTTGTGACTTAAGAATGTGTTGTGGTTTCTACTTGCCTGGGGAGGAAGAGGGAGAGAAAGCCTTTTTCTACCCAACCAGTGTAGTTTTTCAAATTAAGACCAGACAACAGGAAATACAGGAAAATTTGCACTATCGCTGCCTAAAAGAGTTTCAGTTTTAAGACTGGGTACTGTTGTTATCTATTCTTTATTTGTAACTACTGAATTGAGTACAGAGGAACACACACACCATCAGTATCAATGCTTAAAATGGAGACAATAAAAAAAGGCCCAAGTACAATATTCTGCTATGGCAACTCATCTTTCAGCTCTGTTCTACAGAACATCCAGCCTAAAGCAAAAACAGAAAAAGAAATTTAAAAAATAATCTGTTTTGCAGTTTCTCCTGTTACCCCCAATTACTATTGCTTTTGCTCACGCTCACAACTAGTGGGTGCATCTGAGCATTCTCTTAAAATTTCTGCTATTAAGTTCTCTGATGCTTCCACTTTTTTAGTTGCTACAGGTTAGCAGAACAACAGGATATTAAGATGTTCATAAGATGGTTCTCATGAAAATAACTTATGTGAAGAAGCAAGTTTATTTCATTGGGTAAGGCAGAGTAATTATAGCTGAATGGTATATTCAGAAAGTACTGCTAGCAATAACCTTCAATTGTAATGACAATGAAACCAGGATATCAGACTGAATCAAGATAGAAAGAGGGATCACCAATTATAAAAAAAAAAGTAGACAAACAGGTTATTTAGCAATTATAGACAAGTACAGGAAACAACTTTACCTTATAATGAAAGGATTCTTTGCATTGTTTGCACTGATACATTCTTGTTTTGCAATGGTTGATCATGTGGCTCTCTAAATCCTTACTATTGTCAGCAATGTGTTCACAGATAGGACACTGATAGGGCTGCCTCTGACGATGAACTCTTAAGTGTTGTTTTATGTAGCCCTTATTACCACTGCTGTAATGGCAGAGGCGACAGCGGTAGGGCCGATCTGCACTGGGTATATATTCTACTAGGTTACTTCCTGGAATATTTGCATCATTTGCATTTTGGCATTGTGCATTGTCTTGTAATTCTTTCAGAATGTCATCATCAGAAGCATTTTGATCTGTCCTCTCCTTCAGTTTTTCAATGACAGTGAGTAGTGACATACTAATGCCCATTTTAATTGGTGTTTCTGATAACTCTGGCCTTTCATTCTGTATCTCAACTATTGCACATTCATTTTGGTTTAAGCCACTAAACTCCTCTGAAGGATTCTTATGCGAGGATACCAATTTAGAATGAGCCATGCACAGGCCATTAGCCTCTCCCTGCCCCGTATCTGCAACCACAGTGTCTTCCCCAGTCAAAGTCCTAAAGCTAGACCTTGTTAGTTCTGCAGCTCTGATAGGCATTGTAACAAGAGCTTCTGCAGCTAATGAGTGTAGTCGTAAAGACTCAGAATTTGTCCTTCTTCGTACAGGAGGTGCATTTTCATCAGTTGCTACATTTCTAATAGGGCTTAATTCATTCTCTTTCTTCTCGGTATTATTCCATCCTATTATTACTTCTTGGATTTCATCTGAATGATAAACTTCATCAGGTTCTTCACCGGTAACACGGGATGCTTCTGAGATTATTTTTTTTTCTGTTTCAATGTCAGTGTTTATCAAGAAAGGCTTTTGCAAGACACTTTCTTCAGCACCTGGCAAACGTTCGACTATTACGTTAACATGACCCTTTGTATTTGGACTACAATTAATGATTTTCTGTGCTGATGAAAGTAGGCTATCAGTTACCAAATTATCCTGTTCTGTATCTGATACAGTCTCCTCTAAAACCTCTGTAGTAGGAGAATGCACTACAGACTGATTTATCATCTCTTCTTTTACATTTGTTCCTACTGGTGATTTACATGACAGTTGCTCAGAATTGCAAATCTGAAGTTGAAGAGTAGGTTCACCATGGATATCTAGTTCATTATTTTCCAAAGAAAGAACAACTGCATCCATGCTGTGAGGTGTATGAGTTACAACCATCTCTGACAAGTTGGCAGTTTCATTTTCTTCCTCAAAGATAGGATAGGAACAATCAACTTCACCTGCATGCTTCCAAGAGTGAGTTTTCAACATTCGTTGCTGACCACAGGTGTACCGACAGATTAAACACCGGTACATGCCATACTGCTCGTAAGTATACCACTTCCTCCTACCCATTTCAGGTATATGAGTAGACTGAGTTATATCTTTACATTCCACATTTCCTGTCTGATCAGTCCCTGATTTGACACTTCTTTCCACTGGCCCTTGCAAAAATGAACTTGAGACATTTACACATTGCTGTACTTTTGTCTGCATTTTACTACCATTCTCGTGGTAGTTTTGGAAGTGAGATTCAAGTTCTTCTTGGTTTTTAGAAGCAAAATGACATTCTGAGCACATTAATATCACTTCATTTTTCTGCCCATGTTGTTTTATATGTTCTTGTAGCATTAAGAGAGAAGGTGATAGAAACTTACATAGACTACACTGGTAGCATGTCACCTTTTTTTTGCTTTGTGGAAGACATTCAGTCACAAAACAATCAGCTTGTAACTCTTCAGTCTTCTTAGTAGCAATAACAGAGAACTCAATTGCTTTAGCTGGGATTTCACAAAGATCATCCGTTTCAAAGGACTGTGCAGAAGCATTAGGATGGGAACGTTTTTTCCCTATTAAAAGGCATCTTTGTGACTTCTCACTTTCAACTATTTTGCTTAGCTTCTGGATAACATGGATTAGTGGATCAGTTTTACATTTCCTCTGATCTTCACTGGCTTGCAGTGTTGGGCCAATGACTGTTTCAGAAATCAGTACAGCTTCCTGTTCTCCAATACTTGGCATCAGTACTGCAACATTTCTTCCTTCTTCCATAATATCTAGGATAAAGGGTTTTATAAAATATTAAAATTAATACAATAATAAAAACACAAACCAGTAGTATTTATCTACTAAATGTGGAAGCCCAAAGCCACCAACTTCATAAAAACTTTCAGAATGGCTATTTAAATAGCCAAATATTTTGAGGACTATGTAGATAGTATAGATACTGTTCAAAATATCTGGACAGAGTACTTCCAGGACAGCCTCTAACTGCATGCCTCCAAGTTGTATATTGGCAAGATAAATATTTTTCAAGCATAAGCTGATTAGCATTGTTACAAATATTGTTTTTCTTTACAAGGACTACCCATTTGAATGCTAGACACTTAAATAAACCAATCAATAGTAACTGGCACATTTATGAGTAAAACTCATGATACGGTATGAAAATGTATTCCTGATGTACTCACTCTGATACACTGATGTCTCCTAAAACAAATGTCAATTTACATCAACATAATTTACAAAAATAAGCATTTTTTCCCTTGAAAAGTTGGTACAAATAAGTAATTCTGGTATGTAGTTACATTAGTCACTTTGCTTTGACTGTATTAAAGACTATTCAAATGTCAAAGCATACTTAAAAGTGTCATTTTCTAGAAAAGCTACTAATTGTAGCTTTTCCTATAGTTCCTTAATTGTAGGAAAAATCAATATATACATTTTTTTGTTTGTTTTGAGGGAAAGCTAAAGATAGTATTTCCACTTACACTTTCTTTAAACATATCTAACCATAAACCACAGGCAATAATGTGGTAGTGTTGAAGATGTGTATAGTGCTTCTAATTAGCCAATACATATAAATGTACATGAAAGGATACTTTGTGATGTGGGCAAAGTTGTGGGGTAGAGATGGGGGTGCTGGACAGTGAATTTCAGTGGAATTTACTTCTGAAAAAATGCCTGAAAATAACCTATTCAGGTTCCTATCTATATATACACACACACAAAAAAATGTATATTAAATACCCATTTAATACTGTATTTAAAATGTAGAACATCGAGAGATGACAGGTATTTCTTTTATCAGTTATCCTTAAATTAAAAAAAAAAGTTGGAATAATTATTTTTTTTTTTCAAGAAAGGTATGTTGGCCAAAGCAGAACTTCCAGAACTGGTCCAAAAGGCCCACAAAAAAAAAAGAGGGGACTTGTGGATGTAGTATACAGCTGTAATTTAAAAATGAGAATGTATTTCTAGATAATTTGACTCTGGCAGGAGTCTAGTAGGAATAAAAAGCACCACTGGCCTTACTTTGCCCATAGGCAGTGTAAGGAAGAAAGACAGAAGCGCCGTGATGATGCTTCAGGGCAGGTTTAAGCCTCAGCCATGCCTGCATGGTCAGGTGGGGTGGCCCTCTCAAAGAGGCAACCGCAGCATGGATCTATTGCCACATGTGGCACTACTTCAAAATGTTGTTTAGAGAAACGTAAGAAATGTATTTACATTTTTGCATTGCAGGAGATGCAACAACATTGGGGAAATTTTGGATTTTTGTTTTAACACTGGAAGATTTCATGGGATTGCCCAGTGTCAGCAGAAGATGTGCAGGCTTATTTGCTGAGGCAACACATGCAATATAAATGAAGCACCTTTCAGTTACTGTATGTTCTGAAGATAAAAAAAAATAATCACACTTACTGGAACTTAAATACAAACTGTAAGAAATGCATTTATTGTAAAGCACTGCAGGTGTTCTGATTTTTAAATAAATCTGTTACTACGGGACACAAGACCATACAATTTCTGTTTTAATTGAATATAGCAAAGAAATAGAATTAGAATTTCTTATTATTTGATACAGCCAGTGATGTTTACTTAAGACATGCCTTTCTTATTTTTCAGATTTTTACTTAAAACACACTAGTTAGAAAACATATGGGACTTTATGATACTATTTCTTCCTCATCTTTTCAAATGTAAGCATAATACATTGCTTACTCTAATATTTTAATATAATTTTAACATTTTTAAGGTAAGCAGTACATTAAAGGTCTGAACACATATACAGATTATTTTTGATCTATCAAGAAAATAAGCATATATAATAACATGTAATTATTCCACAATAGCAGTTAAATATTTCCACCAATAAAAATCAGGTTGTTATAGCATTTCTGTACTAAAATAGGAATTATAGATAGAAATTTAAGAATTTCTTTAAAGCAGAAACAAATCCCAGAAGGTACTCATTCAGAATAACTCAGATTTATTTTCCACATGGATTTGGTAGAGCTACTGATTGTTTAATTTATGTGCAGATAATATTTGCAGGATTATAAAAATTTGTCAGGCTTAAGGCCACTATACTTTTTTCTTTCATTTCAAAAACATATGTCACAATTTTGATCTATAGAAGAATTCAAACCAGGAATAAGTCAAGTTATCTTTATTTGCCATTCACCTTACTACTCAGGTTATCTACAGAGTCTGTTATAATTGAAAAGTTCAGTACCTGTTGGAAAACGCAGATTCACACTGAGAAATACATTTGGAACATTTCCTTGAAATAATTGTTCCAATATGTATGGATTCTGAGAGTTTTTAGTATTTAATTCCCAGTTGGATCTGTCCAATTGAAGCAATCTATTACAGAAGCATCATAATTATCAATGTAAGCAATGTTAATATCATTCACACTTGATATGCTTATGTATTTTAGATGAACATCCAAAAATATTATTCAATTCTGAATTATTAGGAGAGACAAGACTACTGTCTTCAGTGTTACTATTTTGCTGTGTTAGTTTCAAGAATATTTACCAGTTAATGGCAGAAGTCTAAATTAAAATTGAAAAATAAAAATAAAAGAAGCCATTAAGGTAATTGGATTCATGATAATTAGAAAAGAAAACAACTTAAGGCCTTATGACTTTAACTGGATACATGTAAGCAGATTAAGAATTATCAATATTGTACTGCCATTGTAAATCAACTAGGGGAAATACAAATTAAAAAATAAATCTATTTAAAACAAGATAGTATCACTTTACATATGAGTATACCAAATAACCTGCTTATTTAATTCAAGTTCAGTATTATCTTACTAACAGGAATCAATGTTATGTGCATTCAGTTACTATTAAACTGAAATATCCAGCTATTTAACTTTTTAATATAAAACAGATGCCTTGACATGCATTTTCAGATTCAATTTCTATTGCCTGCTTGGTACAGTAGATTGAATGACTAACTCTTGTCTATGTGGCTAGGAAAACTTACAGCCCATTCATATATTTCCAATTATACATAAAAGATGTTGCAGTAGCAAATAGGTGACATGTCAATAGCAAAGTTAATACTGACTGACCTTCCATTCAACCACTTCTTTTACTTCGCTTATCTATTGTTTGAAAACCATCCTATTTAGCTATAGAAAAATATTTAGCTGTTTGTTTCATAGTGACTACAACACGTTTAATAATATTGTAACAAGTAAATAAATGTGCTTCTTCCCCCTGAACGCAGACTTGCCATCACATGAAGCCCTTCAAGGAATAACATCAAGCTGAAATATTTTCAGAGTTATTTAGAGAAAATTATAGGAACATGGCACTACGTTAAATCAAACTTAGTAATTTTAATCCTTTATAAGTAATGCAAAGCAGGCAAATATTTTCCTTACCTGTTTCATTTGAAAGCAGCATAGGAACTAAGAGGGAAGCCCACAAATGAAAGGCACTGCCATTTAACACTGCTATGTCGAAGCAGAAAACAGAGTACGTTCAGATGCACCGATTGTTGATACTTATAGCTGATGCGTGTTATCAGCTGTGCAATTACAGCACACACATGCACATTAGTTAAGTTATGCGCTCCCCGTTTAGCGCAGGTTTAACGCAGACCGCTGCTCTGTTATAGAGGGACGGCCAGCGCGGAACCCCAATGCCTACCCCAAGCAGCGCGGGTCCCCGGCCTCAAGGGGACGGGATAGGACGATGTGACAGGCAGCAGCCCCAGCCCATGACCTGCGGCTCGGAGCCGAGACCCCGTGGAGGAACGGGGAGAGCAAAGAGGGGCTGCCCCTTCCCTTCCTTTCCCCCCGAGGTGCCGCCAAGCCCCGCGCGGTCCCCGCGCGGCAGCGCGCAAGTACGGGTAGGAGGGAGCAAGAGGAGGAGGAGGAAGAATAGAAGACGAAGGAAGAAGAAGAGGAGGAGGAGGAAGAGGCAGCGGGCAGCAGCCGGCGAGCTCCCCGGGGGAGGCTCAGCACATGGGCTCGGCTCCACGCGCTGGTCCAGGGCCCACCCGCACGCCGCCGCTCCCCGAACCCTCCCTGCCGGCTGCTGCTCCTGGGCCGCTCTCCGCTCACGCCGGCAGCGCCAAGGACAGGTTTTGGGGTAATTTAAAGAGAAACCCAATAAAAGAAAATTTAAAAAGTCCTCACCTTCGGACACCGCTTCAAGATGGCGTCGATGGAGATCATATCACGTGACCGGCGGGCGCGGGTCAGGTGACCGGCGGGTGGTCGCTGTTGCCGTGCCACCGCCTCCTCGCCGTTGCCATGGAGACGGGCCCGGGCCGCCCCCGGGCCGCCTCCAGCCCGCGCGGCGCGGCCCAGCTTCTCCCTGCCGTCAGCCTGCACCAAGCCCGGCTTGGGGTGCTGTGGTGTCCCTGTCACCTTCTCCACACACAGCGCCACCGGCCTCTTGCAAAGGCTGTAGGGGCTTAGATCGGTGCTCCGTTAATATTTTTGTCTTACATTTCCGACCAGCGCGAAGTCCCACAGCAATGCGTGGTCACTTCTGACAGCACAGTGCAGCTGATTTGGTTTTAGGCTGTCTCAAAATAATTGGTGTTTACCTTTCGGCTCCCATTTTACATAATTTACCTGTCCTGCCTGCCCTTTGCCTGTATAATAAGTTTATAAGCATTCCAGTGCAGGCTGATGCCAAGCCAGGCAGCACAATGTGTGCTTCAAGAAATAATTTATTCTTTCAGATGATACTTTCAGCAAAACTTACAAATGATAAACACCTGTTGTTAAAACAAGAAACCTACTCCCCCCCCACACCCATATTTTGGGTCCTAAGCGAGAAATCAATGCTAATGTTACCAAGCATAACCTGCAGAGAACTGACAAGAAGATTTTTGTAATTTAAGTTAGCATGAAGATAGAGTTGTAAAGCATACTCTGCATGTCAGGGACAACCTTAGAAGCTGCATGCCAAAAATTTTACATGCTGTGAATTTGAGATATTTCATATGGAAAGTCAAGTGAATAATGAGTTTCAACAGTGGTTCACAGCTAAGTGATGACAAGTGAAATCTAACATTTGGTCCCAGAAAGTGACTTGAAGTGTGTTGACATGGATGGGTTTACAGTTGAACTTGGGGGTACCTTATAAAATTGTAGGAACTTTTTGCAAGTTTGCTTCCTTCCACATATTGCAGCTTTGTTAATGATTGTGCATTGTTCGGTAGGAGTAGGATATGCATTTGAAATACTGGCCAATAAAAAATACTTGTTCAAGAGATGGATTTTTCCCTGCTTTCAATAAGCATTATTTCCTCTGTCTTTATTTATTTTGTTACCGTGTTTGGATTCACTGTTTAAGCTCTGTTTTATTGTATGAAGCTTTAGGAAATCTCAAACCTTATCCTACAGTCTGTGACTTTAACCTGATCCAGAGCCCCAAATCTAGTCCTACGTATCTCCTGACAGAGGTCCAAAGCAATCTAGTCTCTTTCTGCCCAGTCAGTAATATACTGAAAGGATGATTCTTCAGCCACTGCTTCTTTTGAATATATATATATATATTTTGACAGGTACAGTGAATGAAATGGAGCTTAAATAACAAGGTCTGCTTAAAAGCTGACGGGTGACTTGAGCAGAAGGGTTGTGCTAGATGACCTTCAGAAGTCATAGAATATCCCAAGTTGAAAGGGACCCATAAGGATCATCCCTTGTTACCTCAAATAAATATTCTAATCTAAATCTTTGTACACTTTGTGCACTTCCCACCCTACACCTACACATCAACTCTTTAAAGCGCTGCCTTCCATTATCTTGCCTTTCTGACTCAGCTAAGGGTGGGATGAAGGGTGTTATACCAAGTGGCAGAAATATGCTAGTTGTGCCAAAAACACCTGTGCAAAAGACCTGCTTTGCTGCTGCTACAGCTGGTGTTGCAACTTCTCTTACATGTATGCCATGAGAAAGGTCACTGCTTTCTCTTTTCTTCTTCCTAGTCATGTGACCTGTCCTCTCATATATTGGGAAGGAGGGAATTTTGAGAGATTTGGAAAAGGCACTGGAAGATGACTAGCACTTACAGGCTTGGGTCTACATGCACAATGTAAAGTTGCAAAGACAGCTGGGCTAAGGAAGGTGCATGGATATTGGTGCTGAGTGCAGGCCCAGTTGGGCTTTAGGCTGTGCCCAGCAAGTACACAACTTTGAGTCTAAAGATGAGAGGTCTCTAGGTAAAAACAGCTTATGTGGAAAGAACTCAAGGCTTAAAACTGGTCCTGACTTTCCAGTAGAGAAGCTCTAATGACAACTTCAGAAACTGGATCTGTCTGTTCAGTTCTGAGTGTGTGAAGTAAACCAGCTGGTAAGAATAATGGACTGCTGGTGGTAAGGCAGAACAGATTAATTCTACCTCTCCTGCTATTTAACTACCTTGGTTTTAGAGTTAGGATTTTCATTTCACTATCCTGCAGTTAAATAATACAAAGATTTTAATAAGATCTCCTTTTAAAGAAATTTCTAGAGGGAAAATGTAGGCATACAACCTCACAATCTTCTTAACAGCTACCAAAATATATTTCATTAAAAAAAAAAAAAGGAAAAAAAAAAAACCCAACAGCTGAAACTGCACAGTGTTCACAATTCAAAATGTAGTAGTAATAAAAGTAGGAGCTTGTTGCATCTTTTTCCTACTGTATTAATTGGGGCCTTTCTGTAGAAATGTGATTATCTTTTGTGGACATTGTTTCTTTAAATCTTAGTTTCCACAAATAACAGGTATTTGTCATAGTTTAATTAACAAGTTATCTGAACTGAAACACTCTTGAAGACATTGAACTCTCGCCCTCCTTTATCCAATCAAAATATGCCAGGATCTGACATGTCTGGATTAAAAATACTGGGTTGATAATAAGTAACGGTCTCTGTGTGTTCTGTTATTCATCTTTGTTATAATTAAAGATAGACTAAGTTAAAGATTTCATTCTCCTTGTAAGTATGATTGTACAACAAAAACAGATTTAGATTTTACGCTTTTACATTAATTTGAAAAGCTTCTTAATTCACAAAGTTCTTTTCATATTTTTCATTTTCATTGCTTTCAAGTTGAAGGACACATGAAATCAAATTAAATTTGGGTAAGGCAACTATCCCTGAGTAGTAGAGATGAGACAGTTGTATTGAGCACAATATGTTCAGAATGTTGATATTTTTGTAAGAAGTTTATACAAAATTGCTTTGTAACTATTGTAAATATGTACAGAATGTCTGTGGCATAAGTTTTATGGTAAACATTATAGGCTTAATTTAAAAGAGTAATGCATAGTCTTTAGAAAATTTAGAAGCTACATCAGCAAAGATGCTATCTTGAAGTAAATACTTGCAAAATATATACTTTGTCTAAACTTTTTAAATAATAGCAATATACAAATAGTAACTATAAGGTCTCTGTTTATTTTTCATGGTCTCAGTCTCAAACTCTTTTCAGTCATCTTGGTTAATGATTAGGCTTATTTTCGTTAATGGGTTGTACAGTCATGAGTTATATAGTTGTCAATAGAAAATTCAGTTTAGTCCATGAGTTTTCTGTACCTTGGTGACTGGATGTTCCAAAATCATTCCAAAAGCTTTATAATTTGCACATTATTATAATGTATTCTATAACTGAGGCCCCTGAGTCTCTTGAGTGAAGATTAGCTAAATTTCTTCATGGCTCAATGTACAACACTAGTGAATTTTGCATGGTGCACATGTTGGAATAGGAGCTTTGCCTTGTGCATCTCCTGCTGGGGTGCAAAGTGGTTCTGTCTGAGCACTCTGAGTGGCATGTGAAGAAAGTTTTTTCTTTTGCATTTCAGTTAAGTTTTAGGTCTTGGCAGCCTGGAGATGGCCTTTATCTATCGTAAGGTAGATCCACAATAAAAAAGTGAAATTAGAAGTTGCATTGAAAGACTGTTGGCATCTAGGAATTTTTCTATCATCTTTATAGACTAATTGCAACACATAATCCTGGATTTACTCTTCTCATTGTTTTTGGCTGATTTTTGCTTATAAGTGTGTAATCACTTGGCATTATTTAACCATTAGCATAGGATTCACATATAACATTTATTTACAATACAGTCTGTTTTGGAACTGCAGAAACACTGTTCTGGGAGAGCATGACTGCTGACCAGTGTGAAGTCTGTGCAGTTTCTTGTAGGATACAAGGAACAGAAATTGTACCCATACAGTTTGGAGAAAATGTTTAAAAGTTTAAAGTTTAAAACCACTAGGTTTTGAACTGCCTCAGTGGCAAATTTAGTACCCTGAATAACGTTGAAGCAGATTTAAATACAAGTCAAATATCAGACTTGCATTTCTGTCTGCCTGCTGGTTGCCCTGCAGTTCAGAATTGCTCAAATCTGACCACTGCCCTATCCTAAGATGTATTTTCTACCCTAGAACTTTGTGAATTAAGAAGCTTTTCAAATTAATGTAAAAGTGTAAAAAAATGTTTGTACAATCATACTTACAAGGAGAATGAAATCTTTAACTTAGTCTAGCTTTAATTTTAACAAAGAAGAATAACAGAGTACAGAGTATTCCATAGCTCCTACATGGCTGAGAGAGCTTGGGATGTTCAGCCTGCAGAAGAGAAGGCTCTGTGGAGACCTCATTGTGGCCTTTCAGTACTTAAAGGGTTCTTATAAAAAGGATGGAGAGGGACTCTTTACTTGTGAAAATAATGGTAGGACAAGGGGGAATGGTTTTAAATGGAAAGAGGGGAGATTTAAATTAGATGTTAGGAAGAAATTCTTTACTTAGGGAGTGGTAAGGCACCGAAATATGTTGCCCAGAGAGCTTGTGGATGCCCCGTCCCTGGAGGTGTTCCAGGCCAGGCTGGATGGGGCCCTAGCAAACCTTATCTTGTGGGTGGCATTCCTGCCATGGCAGGAGGGTTGGAACTACATCATCTTTAAGGTCCCTTCCAACCCAAGCCATTCTATGATTCTATGGTTCTATGATTCTGTGATTCTACGAATAGCAGAATCTGTTCTGTATTTTCTGTATCTGCATAATAGGTTTATCTTTTTTTTTTTTTCCTTTTATTTTCTTTTTCTTTCTTTCTTCTTTTTTTTTTTTTTTAGATGCATAAAATC